GATGAAGTTTGAGGCTTGATGCTTTCAAACGCTTGAATACTTCCTCTAGCCGGGACATTTCCTCATCAAATGTTGCTGCAAACACAATGACATTATCCAGGTACACTAGGGCTAATTTAAGATGTAGTAATAGTAATGCGTTGTGTTTGACTTCCTATTAAGAGCTGGTTTTCTTACGTTAATGGCAAGAGATTATAGTATTCTAAGGAGAATGATGCGAACCTCCAGTTTCCCGCAACTTTCTCCGGGTATTTTGACGCTGTAAGTAAAATGATCAGATGAATGTTTGTTCTTAGCGCATTGTTTCGTGTCACCCAAGATTTCCTGTAAAATATACAACAGCAGTTGACGAAGGCTACAGTAACAATAATCGTAACTCCTTACACACAGTTTAAAGTAGTCGTTGTTTTCTGCTGTTGGCTTTATTTGTTTGTAGTTAAGCACAAAGCTACATAAAGGGCTATGTGTGCTCTGGCCAACACGGGTATCGAAACTCAATTTCCAGCGTTGTAAGTCCACAGATATACCGCAGGAGTATATTCACTGTTGGCGTGAAAGATAAAAGACAATAAGTCTAGTATTGAATTTTACAAAGCTGTTTGTATTGATATCAGGCTGTTTCGGAAAAATGTTTTAAAGCAACTTGAAAAGTTGGTGCATTAGAGATGCCAGGAAGACTAAAACTGATAACATTTGGCAGATTTTGGAAGAGATTTTATCAATACAGTTGATACATTCCGATTATTAGATAACCACTTTATTAAATCGCAATAATAATTTTATCATTATTATGGGTAAAACTGTACGTAGTTGTGACGTGGGGAATTATTTTTCTTCTCTGTTTAGAACGTCATTGACACATTAGATCATTTGTTTAAAAAAAAAAGCAACGACTTGTCATTTTATTAATGTTGGAACTAGTCTCTGTTCTTATATAATAATATTTACTTTTTCTTTTGTTAGTTAAGAAAACCTTCGTGTTTATTCCTTGAACTTACACATGTTAGCATGCTGGAGAAATGCTCTGTTTGGCGAGTGATATACAGTTTTTAGACCTTTTATGTCTACAAAACGCTCTTTTAAATGTTCGAATCATTTGTTAGAGACCAACGGAAAATATCCGCTTTTCTAACAAAAGGAAACTTAAGCACTAATTTTTTAAAGCATATAACAAACTACTAAGGTTTTAGAAAATGTTCGTTTATGTTTATAGTTAATTACATATACAATCAGAAAAGTTAGCTATCATTAGTTTGTTTGTTTGTTTCAGAAGTTTTCACCAAGCCTACACGAAGGGCTACTTACGTATGTCTGTCCTTAATTTCGAACTCATAGGCTACAGGAAAGGTTGTTTTTTTGTTGTTGTTGTTAATGGCAAAGCTACACAAAGAACCAACTTGTGCTGTGCCCATCACGGGTATCGAAACCCGGTTTTTATCATTATAAGTCTTAAGACTTACCTCTAACTTACTGCGGGGCCCTATAGGAAAAGAAGATAGTCAATTACCAGTACCCAACGCTAACTCTTGGACTACTCTTATCGGAACAAATAGTGGGAATTAACCTACGGACTTGAAATGCAGAAATTTCACCTTGGAAGTGCTTCTAACAAAACAAAATTACACCAACGCTTAGAACCTTTTAAGTTTCAATATTTCCATTTACTGTATATTCGATTAATATGCTAATGTTCTATGCTGTTTTAGATTGAGCTGCTATCTAAAAATGGTTTTTATCAAACGAAAAGAAAAGCAATACCTTAAAATAATGCTGATTTGTTTCCTGTTATTTTTTCCTATTTACATTCTTAGCCATTTAATTTAAAATTCAGCTTTCAAAGCACATTTGATGTACAGGAGCTTTAGCTGACTTCCATACATTTTAAGTAAGTTGCATCCTACAAAACAGAGGGCTTTCGAGTTGAACTAAATTCATTTAATTCAGGGCAAAATCATAAGAATCTTCGTATTTATATTACAACGACATAATTTCTTTGTTCATTGCGACTGATTGATCGAATTTAATATGTTGGACGTGGGATTATTGTAAAAAAAGGACTGGCTTTTACATACTCTGACATAAAATGTGATTTTATATTGAGCTTCTTATATGAGAACACTGTAAAGAAATTCCTTTTAGCTTTTTTGATAAATACGGAACTTTTCGTGAGGACATAATAAGTTAAAAAAGGATTAGGGATTCTTTAAAGTGGATAGTATTAAAATAAACGTTTTGAACTTTGTGTATTTCGCAGTTAAGTTTAAAATGTAAGTACAATCAGGTAAAAAAAAACACTTAAGAAGTGGTTGGTTTGTTAAGCGCAAAGCTACGCAATGGACTAACTGTGCTGTGCTCACCATGGGTATCGAAGCCCGACTCGAAGCCTGCAGAGTTACCGCTGAGCCACTGGGGGCACATATATATTACCTACTGGTATTTCAAGAAACATTTCTTGCTAATATAAAGAATCGTAACCCAGAAAGTGATTAATATATATATACCAGGTTACAGTTTAGAGATTACTTAGTCTCATATATTTTTACCAAGGTGCTGTTACTAAAAACCTTTAGTACAAAAAATAAATATTTTTTTCGTTACTACATGAAAAAAATTCTATTATCATCATTGACGAAAAGCAAACTAACTAATCAGAACTCAAAAGTAATTTATAAATTGAAGCTAATTCTAAAGAGGACTGGGTATGTCATATTAAAACCGTTTTGGATATCCAAATCAGAAAGTCACGTTTGCTTTGTCCACCGAACTTTACAAAACCTATCATCTGACAGCCAACAAGCAACTTGAAAAAGAAAAATGTTCTCAAGTTGAAACAATAAAGTACGGCTCCATGGTGCTTGGAGCTGAAACTGTTGACATTGGACGGCTGGAGACGAGTGATCGGACTTATTAGTCGTTTTTCAGTTCTTTGTATGCTGACCATAAAAAATATGGAGTCACGTGACCCTGCAAGCTGCTGGTTTAGTGGTGTGAAGATTGTGCTGTAGGTAATGTTTGGGGCATCTCATTCTCTTAAAAGGGCGAATAAAGCCCAGAATGTGCCAATACTTTGTTGCGATCATGGCCACTCTGCAGTGTTGCATTCACACTATGATGGGCAAAGTATATATATTTGAAAACAATGATACAACAATCCACTAACTTCTTCTTGTCCCAAAGTGTTCGAAGAATGTGAGAAGGTCTTTGGTCATTTTATTTGACCAGCACAATCACCTAATCTCAATACAGTTGCGTATCTTTGCGATCAATTTCAAAGCTATATTCGCCAACGAAATTCTCTGCTGAATTTTATTCACCAATTCAAACATAATCCTCAACGAATGAACTACAGTCTGGGCGAAAGATGTCCAATCCAATATTACAAAGATATACTCACACTTATATTATTTTTAAAAACGAATTAATTGTTTGAAGTTAAGCACAAACCTTAACAATGGGCTATCTGTACTCTGCCCACCACGGGTATCGAAACCCGGTTTCTTGCGCTGTAAGACCACAGACATACCGCTGTGCCACTGGGGGGCAAAAACGAATTAAACCACAGTACATTACTTGAAACATCATCACATATTTTGATTTAAACTTTCCAGGTTACTCGACCTTTTTTGTTTATTTAATTTTTCTAATTCTACTCAAACTTCGATTAAAATACTATACCATTTTATCTATTCAGTCAGTACGTTGATAAGAATAAGTATTCGCTTTTTTAGGTATTACCAAAATTGTTTCGTTATGTACACCATTTCTTGTTTTTATATTAGGATTCTTCCATATAATTGTGTTTGGATACAGGAAGATATGTCATTTCGATAGCATACGATTACTTTAATTGAATATCTTGGAGAACATTGGCATAGAGAGATGGACAAAAAAGCATATTTTATGAGTTATTTTATAAGTTATTTACATATCATCAAATTGTATTTTCTCAGATACTAACAAAACTGTTTACTTTGGTATTGTAGATGAACTTGTTTGGATAACTCCAACTGATGAAACTTTTCTATCGTCCATAGATTTTGTTTAAATATTGACCTTAATATCAAAAACGGATTGTACCTTAGTTTTGTAGAGGATTTTATTTGGATACACTCAAAAAGTTTATTTCTGCCTCGCTCTAACTTAACCAATTCTCAATTCCTTTCTACAAACAACATCCCTCGAATTCCGAAATTACGACCAGCAGTAACTGTATGTTGCTTTTCTTGCTGAACACCTACCTCGCCCTTTCTTTAAAACGTTACATTTATTTATATATACCTATAAACATGGTTGCGTGAAACAGTTATTTAAAGTTAGATTATATGTAGAAGTTTTATGAGATATATTAAAGATATATAACTATGTATTTTAATGTATTCCTTGCGTGCAGGTAGACACGCATTGAAACGATACACAGGTAAACATGGTAAAGAAATCGCAATTTAAAATTTGGCAAACGCTTATACAATTATGAGAGAAGACATACCAAACCAAGGAAAATTATTTAGAAGAAGTAAAATTAATTCAATGTTAATCTTAATGTACAAAATCTCTTGTATGCTTATTTAGTACTGAAAGTGAATATACAAATACTCAATTTAAATGTGTTATATTACAACATTACATAGAGCCTGGTACGACGTGGTACTTAGGGTGCTCGACTTGTAGCCTGTAACTCGCGAATTCGAATCCCATCACCGAACATGCTCGCCCTTTCAGCCGTGGGAGCGTTATAACGTGACGGTCAATCCCACTATTCGTTGGTAAAAATAGCCCAAGAGTTGGCGATGGGTGGCGTTAACTAGCTGCCTTCCTTCTAGTCTATCATTTCTATATTAGGAAAGACTAGTGCAGGTAGTCATTGAGTAGCTTTTCGTGAAATTTAACAACAATATTGCCATTATAAGGAGAAAATAAAATAAAAGAGATAAAATTGGGCAAATATTTTTGTATCCAACAATTATTACTTTACTAATCAATGAATTATTTTTCATTTCCAGAAATTGTAGAAAACGTGAAGAACGGACAAAATCCTCCATTTCGACCTTTTTTAGATGAAGAAAGATGTGATGAAAAAGTAGTTGAGATGATCAGAAGATGCTGGTCAGAAGATCCCTCAGAACGACCTGAATTTCAAGCTTTGAAGTCGGTCATTCGGAAGTTAAATAAGTAAATATTGGTTATTATTATGGGATAAACCCTACAGTTTAAAACTTTTAAACAAATTTTAGAGAGTAAGTGGACTAAAACACCAAACGAAAATCTTGAACAATAAGACTTTATTTTCAAGATTTAAATAAGAAAATGCATTCTTGTATAGGCTTCAAGTGAATGTTGGATTAAACAACTCAATTTATTCTCATATTTATAGTGATAAAAAAAAGAGACTGAAATTAGCTTATTGGTATTATCAAACCATAAAATATTTTTAACTTCAATGTTAAACAATGTACTAAAAGTTATTTTATTGTTTGTATTTTTAAGCATAAAGGGCTATCTGTGCTCTGCCCACCACGGGTATCGAAACCCGGTTTTTAGGGATGTAAGTCTTCAGACTTTCCACTGAGTCACTAGGGGCACTTTAATAAAATAAACCATTTCAAAATGTTTGCATAAATCTACATAAAAGGATATATATTTTTTATCTCATAAACTAGAGGGAATGCAGCTATTAAACAGCACCCACCCCTGTCTCTTGAGCGATTCTTGTCTGACTGAATAGTGGGACTTAATAGTTGCTTTTATAACACATCTATGAAGCGCGTTGTGGTATCGGGATGTGAACCATGAATCAATGGATTCACAGTCCGAGCATAATAAATGCCAAGCCACGTTAAGCTAAATAAATGATTTTAAATCGTATATAATAGCTATAAATTTCATTAAAAAGTAACAATAATTACTATGCTAGACATTAATGTCTTTTTTACATATCTTGAATCGGTTATTAGTAACTAAAAAAATATCCATTAATCTAAAATCAAATAAAGACAATTCCAATTTCATTATCTATAATTTATTTTCACGCTTAATAACTATAAAATGCTTCCTTTGCTTTTGACTGATATTGGATGATTCACTGTCTTTCTACATGTCGGTGTCGAGAGTGTTTTGGTTTCGATCTACATTGGATAATTCACTGTCATTCTACATGTCGATGTCGAAATTGTTTTGATTTCAATCCACATTGGATGATTTACTGTCTTTCTACATGTCGGTGTCGAGAGTGTTTTGGTTTCAATTCACATTGGATTATTTACTGTCATGCTTCATGTCGGTTTCGCGTAAAGTCAGTAGACTCCATTGTGAAAACAAAACAGTCAATGAAGTAAAAATAATCATATAAAAGTTCAATGCTTGAAACTTATCAACAACAAGTAACGTCAATAGTATTTTATTCAAAGTGAAAACCCCAAATTAACACCTTATTAATTTATTAAATCAATTCAAGGGCAGTTCTCTGTTGTTTTTTCATGTTCTTCTGATATCCTACAGTAATAAATATTTCAAGTTTTAGTTATTGTTTTTTTTCTCACTTGTATAATAGTTGTTATTGTTTAAAACAGAAACGAACTTACTTTCTGCTTTCACTGGAAGTGACAGAAAATAATGAGATATTACTGATTAAGTTTTAAATTAGTAAATATTTCAACCACAGATCGATAACTCGACATCTTTGTTTTGAAAGTCTGAAAGGATAATCTACTTCAACCAAATTATTTTTGTTTTTTATGTTGAACATAAAATTGGGCTATGTTAATTGGCACTGGTTTGAAATAGTTTGTTTATTTGTTGTTAAGTGCAAAGATACACATGGGCCCACCACGAGTATCTAAACCCGCTTTGAAATAGATTTGCTTGATTTTTTTATAATAAAATGTATTTAGCACTAATACTTTCACAGTTTTTCAGAATTTTGTGAACATTTTCCTTTCAGAACGCTGTAAAAAATTATGAAAGCCATATAATGGTGTCTAAAGATAGCTAATATAAGGTGTGAAGAATAAGTAAAGTAGCTTTAATAAATTAATTAAAGCTAAATGAAGTAAAAAATAAACGTTTGTAGTAAATCAATCTGTCTTTGAGTACCTGCTATATTTTTTCTTGTTTCTACTAAGAGACAATGATAGTGGAAATATTCTGGACAACTTGTTGTCAAGAATGGAACAGTACGCCAACAACCTGGAGACACTAGTTGAAGAAAGAACAGCAGATTATCTAGAAGAAAAACGTAAAGCTGAAGACCTACTCTACCAGCTTTTACCTCGGTAAGGGATTCATAATCATAGATTGTTCAGATGATCAAATGTTGTTAGAATCTACTGTACCAGCTTTTACTTCGGTAAGAGAGTCATAACCATAGATTGTTCAGATGATCTAATGTTGTTAGAATCTACTCTACCAGCTTTTATTTCGGTAAGAGAGTCATAATCATAGATTGTTCAGATGATCAAATGTTGTTAGAATCTACTCTACCAGCTTTTACTTCGGTAAGAGATTCATAATCATAGATTTTTCAGATGATCTAATGTTGTTAGAATCTACTCTACCAGCTTTTACTTCAGTAAGAGAGTCATAATCATAGATTGTTCAGATGATCAAATGTTGTTAGAATCTACTCTACCAGCTTTTACTTCGGTAAGAGATTCATAATCATAGATTTTTCAGATGATCTAATGCTATTACTACACTTTGATCTATAGTTTAAAGCTTTAAGCAACTTGCAGCTTTAGTGCTGAACTATCAAAACGTAAAATGAAGCTATAAAGCACGAACTTTTTTAGAACTGTAATGTCAACACTTTCTTAACCTATTCATTTAATATATGTATACCATTTACTTACTTCTCTAGAGTTTGAATTTTATTAATTTTTTTTAGAGATTGAATTAATTACTTTTTAGAGTTTAAACTTGCTTTACTTTTTTAGAGTTGGAATGCAATTATAGAGAGTAAACAGAAATTCGTATGTCATTTACTTACTTTTCTAGAGTTTCAATGTTAGATTTTTTTAGAGTTTAAATTTAATTTACTTTTTAAAATTTGAATGCAATTATAAAATTTCAGCAGAAATTCATAGCAAGTGGTTAAAGTTTATGTAAAGCTAGTGAGATAGTTCAATATGATAACCACACCAGCAATCCATTTGGACATGTGAGATAGTTCAATATGATAACCACACCAGCAATCCATTTGGACATGTGAGATAGTTCAATATGATAACCACACCAGAAATCCATTTGGACATATTAACCCAGAGTCAACTGTTTGTTACTCATGCTATAAATGCGTACTTTGTTTGACAAAATAATCCTAATTATTAAGAAATTCAGTATAGCAAAATTTGATCTGTATGATTGATTATATTTAGTATAAGCAGGTTTTTGTCCGCTGTATCTTTCTTGTTAATGAACTTCAAAATGTACTTTATAAAATGAAATGTTTTCATCTTCTTCCCCCCCTTTTTTTTTAGCTTTATAAACCCTTTGACTTACCGCTGAGCCTCGGGGGGGTGGGGGGGGTTGATAGGTGTGAAGTGATTAATCGTCAACCAATAAGTGTTTCAAAACAGAGTAACTAAGGGATATTTACGTGATCATGTGCGTTCGAATGGGGATTTCTTAGCTTTTAATGTGCATTGAAGTGGGTATCTATAAAAATAATACGTTTAAGTTAAATAGAAAAGTTTTGTGGGAACACAAACGATTAATCATGCGATCGCATTGCCTATTATTAAAACAGCTAGACAGAGAGCTATATAATGCCTTCAGTTTCTAAGGTGAATTTAGTAATCGCTGTTTTAATCGTTACTAAAAACTTTGTATATATTTTATTTGTGTTAACAACAACAAAAACTCACCGTAAACATTACTTTCGTCCCTGTTTAATGGGTTTATCGATTTTCTTCTACTCACGCGCTTCATTCTTGGGGAAAGTATATAAAATAACTAAAGAAACTATGGGTCTTTACATCTTCTTTTCTATAACGACCTTACTTCCAACTAGTCTGGGGTCGGTCGGTAATTTTTGTAAGGCAAAAAGTTTTACACCCTGGTGGCTGGCTCAGGTGGCAACCGTATAGAAGGAGCATAATCAGTGACGAGGATTCGAACTCGCGACCCAACCACCAGGCCCCAAATGATATCTACTTTGTGAGGAGTTATTTAATTAATTCCAATAACACTTTCTAAAGAGTTACGATAAAAGTTTTCTACTTTTCATCATCATAAAGATGTAACTACAATTGGGTACTCCGAAAATTTCAAAGTTAAGAAGTACACACATTGATCATTCTAAGTGACCAGAATCATGTTTGGGATCTAAAGGATAACTGAAAGCTTTGCCACAAGAAAAGGGATAATTTTAAATTGTTCGCTGTTTGCCTATTTGCTATATGTATATAGCAAAAATACTAATGCATATAGAAATATCATATGTTCTGTAATCACTATTCAATTTAATCAGTGGGTTTCATAATAACCTAAAAGTCACACTACAAAATGCTCCAGACAATCAGACATCACATAAAACAACAATTCAGAATTTTTTTAGGGTATGTGTACATCTTAGCACTGTAAATCACAGTTGCCATCCAACGGGCATGATTCTGCGCACCAGGCTGTAGTCAGTGCAGTCCACGAGGTGAGGTTTATCCTAGGAGAATCAACAACGACTAGGCAGATTATCGATAAGCATCGCGAGGCAGAAAGTCTTTCGAAGGGAGCTTCAGATAAAGTCAATCTTTTTCGGAGAAAGTTGATATTAATTTTTCCGTTGACGTTTAAGTCGACGATCAGAGATATGCAGCGTCTTAAAAGTTGATCGCTCCTCAAGAGTTCCCCAAGATATATTAAACTCTTTGAACTCAGGGCTGTCCGGACTGGATTTTGTACCAAATAATTCCTGCCAAACTGCACACAAAATTCTTTCCGTGATGTGATGACGGCAAGAAAACTAAAAAAAAATTCTTGTTAAGTAAAATTTCTAGCTGCACACAATCGCCACTCTTTCATCCAGAGTTTGAAGCGTTCGTATCGAAAAAGTCCAAAATCGAAAAGCTATTAGTATCGAAAAAGTCCAACAATAGAGTTTATACTTTCCACTGAAGTACGAGAGCATGGCTTGTGTTAGCCTGGGTTGTACCAGTTCCATCTGGAATATCTGCAATACTCAGCAATTTTCCCTTTTTGTGGTCTGGCATTCCTGCTACAAGAACTCCCAGTCTCTTCATATCTTCTGGGACAATTTTTTCCGTCCCAGTGCAATGTTGTAGACTTCGGTGGAGTAAGTGAGGCTTTCGAAGCAATGGCACCCTCTATTCGAATTTTTTGCTGCAGTTCTTGTACTTGATTTAGAAAGAATCACATTATCCACATCAGTACCACCTTCTGAAACGATTGCAGCCATGAATGATGTTCTATAACTTGCAGTAAAACTTAAACGATATGCCATTGTTGAAATTTTTGGACTTCTGAATGGATTGCTTGGAAGCTCCAAGGTAACGGTTCCTTTTCGCATGGATACAGTGTTCTTAGGCCTAGCATCAGAGTAAAATGGGCATTTAAAATCTTCGTCTTCAGATTGTGTATCTAGACTGTTTTTGAAACTTAATGGCTCGGAAGTGGGATTTTCTGGATTTATGCTGACAGTTGCTGCATGACTTTGCTTTTGTTCTTCAGTTATTTTTATCGTCAAATGAGGATTCTCTCTCGTAATTATGTTTTCTATTTTCTTGATGTATGCTTTGTCTTCTGACCCTAAAGACACCTTCTTCTGATTTTGTAAATCTCTTTTTTTTCTGTTCCTGATTTCAGAATCGGTCAATTTTTATTTTCTTCTGAGCATCTTGGTATGAAAAGAAAAAGTAGTTTTGTAGTTCTTCAATCAACAATTTTCCCTTCGCTTCATTTGATTTAAACCCTTTTCTCTTCTGCAATGTAACCATCATAAATATAGATTTAAAATCTCAGCTTTGACTTTGTCTTTTTGTTGAGTCGCTAGCTATTCCTACTTTGTCCCATTGGTTTTGAATGTCAAGTATGACTCTGTCTGCAACTGTACCGTTAAAGTTGGAGTGTTTGTTTTTGTTTTTTGCTGCATTGGTCCATCTCTTAAATAGAAGATCAGCCGTAGGACATCTCCCTTTATAGGATTTCTGGAAGCTGAGAGTTCAGGTACATGTTTTTCCACTAATCATATATCCTGACCTTTCCTCAAAACAGGCCGATCCATTGTTCATCAAACAATCTGAATAAACAAGATTCATTGAATATTATGGTAGTAAATTCATATTATACTTTCACAATTTATATACTACAGTAAAACATCTGGAATAAAAATTTAAAAATCCAATAAAAGCAATGCAACTTTTCACAATATTTTAACTAAAATATAAATGGTAATAATTACAAAATTACAAATTTCAATAGGTTTTGAACATTCAAAAATTTTTGATGCTGGAACAAGGCTTTGGCAACTTTAATTGGGCTGAAAATGAATATGTTTTAATAAAATGAGTAGTGGAATGGAAAAATATGCAGGGAGCATGCCTATGAACAACTTCTTGTAATTAACAATTAAATGTGAGATAATTTAGCAAATAGAAAATCTAAAGGAATATTTTAGCTATATTGGTTCATTATGACATAAATTAGAGTATTTGGATTATTTTCACTTTTTGTTTGTTTTTTGCTTTTCACGATCCCTCAAACGTGAAAATCAGAGGTAATTAAGTACAACCAGCTGATAAATTATCATATTTATTTAATATAGCAATGCATTTAGAAAATACATTTCGCCAACTACAGGTCTGTCGCCAGTCAACTTATTCGAGGAGAATCTGTAACCGCAGAAGCTTTCGACAGCGTCACCATCTATTTTAGTGATATTGTTGGCTTTACAGCTCTTTCTGCTGAAAGCACTCCCATGCAGGTGAGTCGAAGTGTCGTTATCACATTAAGCAGTTCTCAAATCGCCCACTTCAAACAGACAAAACGTTAGACCAACAAAATTAATGTTTTACAGCTAAAATCCAACATAACATTGTAAATAAAAACCTACGCAGAGCTAGTATCCACGTGCGTGATTTCTTATGGTTTACATTATGTCACCTACGGATCATATTTGATTGTACAAATTATGTAAACATTTTATTCCCGATTCTCTCAACCTATACAATATTTTGCCTTAATGATAAAGTATTAATATATTTTTAAATTATCCTTAATATATATAAAAGACCATGAGGTGTTGAGTCCGCATAAAAATGCTTTATTTCTTTTCCCTTTTCACAAAGCTTTTCACTAGTTGTAAAATCACTACTTTTTAATGTATGGAATAATAGATTTTAATCTATCATATCAATTATACACAGGAATTTGAAAACGCTTAGTTTTCTTATAGTGTTTCTAATTCTTTGAACACTTTGCTGCTAATGTTAGTACTTTTAGCTTTTATTTAAAAGCACGAATTTTACATCACGTCTGTAATTAAAGTTGTATCATTTAAAAGCACGAATTTTACACCAGGTTTGTAATTAAAGTTGTAATATTAAAAAAAACGAATTTAGCACCATGTCTGTAATTAAAGTTGTATTATTTAAAAGCACGAATTTCAAATCAGAGCTATAATTAAAGTTGATTATTTTAAAGCACAAATTTTAAATACTGTCTGTAATTAAAGTTGTATTATTTAAAAGCACAGATTTTACATCAGATCTATAATTAAAGTTGTATTATTTAAAAGCACAAATTTTACACCATGTCTGTAATTAAAGTTGTATTATTTAAAAGCACGAATTTTACACCATGTCTGTAATTAAAGTTGTATTATTTAAAACCACGAATTTTACACCATGTCTGTAATTAAAGTTGTATTATTTAAAAGCACGAATTTTACATCATGTCTGTAATTAAAGTTGTGACATTTAAAAGCTCAAATTTCACTTCAGATCTATTATTAAAGTTGATTATTTAAAAGCATGAATTTTACAACAGGTCGGTATTTATAACTGTATTATTTAACATCTGGACGTAGCAGTTAGCCTTTCCCGATAATTAACATTTAAGATTGAATGCAGTGAAAGTTTAGTGTGTTAAAATATTTTCGCAGGATGGTAGTTTCTGTAAGTCTATAGATTGTGTATTCAGACAAGTTAAACCAGAAACTATATTTGTATTATTTGATTAATATATTTATGAATGTTAAATAAAATGTAGGAGGTGTTTTTACCATATACCTAATCTCAATGTAAACAATAAAATCAAGTCCTTTGGGTCTACTGGGCTTTGGAAGCTCTCTTTTATTAACGCTTAAATTGTGAATAGTTATCACAGAGTATTTGGGTACTTTATCTTTAGTTTCTTATCTTAATTATGATAAACAATATCCACCGTGTTCTTTTAATTACAGAGATGCATATATATTCTGCTTTTTACATATTCCATGCAGATTGTAGACCTATTGAACGATTTGTACACCTGTTTTGACTCCATCATCGAGAACTTCGACGTTTACAAGGCAAGCTTTTTTTTTCTTCTTTTTTTCTTGCGTTGCCTTATCTATTACAAATATGAATAATACTGATTCGGGACCCACGTGGATCAAACGTGGAAAATTTATTGAGACAAATACAAAAAATGAAGTTACCAATAAATATGAACTAACATAACACCATAAAAAACATAACTCAATGATAAGAATCACCCACGTGTATCAAAAACACAAGAAACTGCTTTGTGTATTATTGAAATCAACAACAAATATGACATCCCGTTGTGTATTATTGAAATCAACAATAAATGTGACATCCCTTTGTGTATTATTCAAATAAAAATAATAAATATGGCATCCCCTTTAAACAAATGATATTATGTTAATGTCTCTGATATTCAAAAGATTTTATCTTCCATTTCCTACTAACTTACAGACAACAGATAACTGGACATGCCCTTTGCCAATGACAAAAGTCGGTTCTTAGAGGTGACTATAGAAGATAATAGCTCAACAAGTGGCTCAGCGGTTAGCTTGAGGGTTTAAACGCTAAAACTGGGGCTCTGTTTCTGTGGTGGACACATAGCAGATAACTTTAGACGTCAAATCTCAATGTCCAGGATAAATTCCAATAAAATGTAATTTATATATCAAACATAATTTATTACAACACGTAGATACAACACATACAATGGTCGTAATATACACGGATTTTCTTGCATTAAGAAATGTAATATCTCAAATTTTTAATATTTCGTTATAGAATATTGAACATCGCCCCATCTGTATTGAGTTAGCTTAGGATTTACTGATAAAGTTTGAACAATTTTTCCCTTTAGAGAACCGATTATCCATACCCTGTACAGTGATACACGGTTAGTTGCTAGTCAAAATATTGTTATATGTTTAAAAAGTCGTCATTTTGGAAGTACTTTTCATAGGTTGTTGGCACCTTATACTTAGATGAATGTTCGTTACTTTCCCTAGTTTTATTTTATGGAAGTAATTTTCATAGGTTGTTGGTATCTTATACTTAGATGAATGTTCGTCATTTTCCCTAGTTTTATTTTATGGAAGAAATTTTCATAGGTTGTTGGTACCTTATACTTAGATGAATGTTCGTCATTTTCCCTAGTTTTATTTTATGGAAGTAATTTTCATAGGTTGTTGGTACCTTATACTTAGATGAATGTTCGTCACTTTCCCTAGTTTTATTTAGATACTTTATTTTATCATCTATTTTCTACCGACTCACAACTCAAACTTGCCTTACAATGTACACAATTTATTGCTCATAGATCAAACAGTTAGAGAATAATGACTATTATCTTTTGAATTATTGCAGATAAATATCCTTGGTCATTTTAAGTTAATGAAAAAAAGAAAACCCTAAAAGAAGCACTCGAATTCGGAGTTTTCTTTTTTCTTAGTTTTCAATGTTTCTTTGTGATCCTACGTGTTTTTTAAAACTATACTTTCTATTTTAAAAGTAGTATAATACAATAAGTCAAACATATACAAATGTTTATAAAACTTATAGCATAATAATATTATAACATATTATCAATGGATTAAATGTTACAACAAACCAACAATATTGTGAATATACACAAAAATATCTTTTATTTAGTGCCCGAAATATTTAAATATTTAGATGAACGTATTTCAAATCTTTATTTCTGAAAGGGTAGATGGTGAAATTACAAGATTATGATATTCCAGACTGATTTGTATACGTCTCGTGCCCCAAGCGGGTGCTTATTGCTAGTAAGACACTTCTTTTTATAATCCAAAACTACCTATTTGTCACAAGGTTAGTGTTATCATTTTTTACTGAGCTTTCTAACTGATTGGATGATTTTCATGTTGGAGCATCCCAAACTTAGATATAAGAGGGAGCACATAAGATTTTTAAACTTGAAATTAACATAGGCTAATTATTATATTTGCAGTAACAATATGACTCAGCTATTAAATGTATAACCTATACGTAGTAGCCATTAATAATATACCAATAAGATATGTTTGACTTAACATTGTGAATATATGTCATAGAATAGATAAAATTATTCTAAGAAGTAAAGATACAGACACCTGTGAGTCCTAGTTAAAACCATTCGTAACGAATACTTATAATAATAGTAAAACTCTTTTACCTACGTACACAACTTAATTGACAGAACATGTATCTTGATCATTGCGTTTGTATGTTTGCGTTAAAAAAAAATACACATACCTAACTTTTATTCATTAATTTGAACCAAATTTATAAGATCTCATGAGTGCACTTTGTAACCAATATTCGTAGGTCTAACATTAAAGTCACGTCACATATTAACTCAAATCTCTGTAATCAAACCGAAAGTACGAGTAATCAGGTACATTGTTTCGGAATAGGCCATATTTGCACAGCCCCACCTAAGTTTGATATGACAAACTAGATAGAAGGCCACTTAGTCAACAACACCCACTGCCGACCCTTGGCTTACTTTTGTCTGACCGAATAGTAGGATTTTGACCGTCACTTTTACAGCGCATCCACGGCCCCAAGGTGCAGAACGCGATTTTGCGGCAGGTTGAATGAGAGTAAAAATACCACACACAAACAATTAAATGGTTGAATGAGAGTAAGAATACCATCCACAAACAACTAAATGGTTGAATGAGAGTAAGAATACCATCCACAAACAACTAAATGGTTGCATGAGAGAAAGAATACCACACACAAACAACTAAATGAACTAAACAACTAGGGATTGTAAATTTATTTCTCAACGAATCTCTTTTGTTTTCTAACGATGACATGTTGTCCGTTCTACGTACATATTGGTCAAGATCACAAGTCGAACACGTAATTTCTAGTACCAACAGTCTGATTACATCAGCGCTGGATGTGGCCTTGCGGTCAGTGTGCTATGCTCAAATTGTGAATCCGAGAGTTCATGATTGGCAGCCCCGATTTAGTTGTTTGTGTGTGGTATTCTTACTCTCATTCAACCATTTAGTTGTTTGTGTGTGGTATTCTTACTCTCATGCAACCATTTAGTTGTTTGTGGATGGATTTTTACTCTCATTCAACCATTTAGTTGTTTGTGTGTGGTATTCTTACTCTCATGCAACCATTTAGTTGTTTGTGATGGTATTCTTACTCTCATTCAACCATTTAGTTGTTTGTGTGCGGTATTCTTACTCTCATTCAACCATTTAATTGTTTGTGTGCGGTATTTTTACTCTCATTCAACCATTTAGTTTTATTTTTTTTCAGAAGTAGCATGTTCATTATCGATCTCTGTACTTTATTAGTTACGCAGAAATATATTAATTTTCCAAATTTGTATGCTCCAATTTTTTTTCAGTAAGAATCTTGGGATATCATTTATCTCGAGTGATCCTAAAGTTAGTTTGTCTGGTGTATAGAGATAATTCTTTTTTTAGTGTATTTGTATACAGATAGCTTTTACTTCATTCGGTTATCTGCAATTCATCTATACTTGCACCACGAATGTATTACCAGTTGTGTTCAGAAAGATTTCATTTTCTGTAGAAGGATTGTGTTAGTTTATGATCAAAATATAGGCATCAGAGGGGCTGCTTATGAGACCAGCTAGAGATCACTTCATATTTCCCTTTCGAAGTTCGATGCATTTTCACCATCGTTCTTCAAGACACTTTGGTAAAGATTCAGGTGTGCTATTTCGAATACAGCTGTGTACAGCTGCTTTAAGTGCATCAATTGTCTAGAAGTATTAGCTATGCAGAACGTTACTGCTAAGACAAAAAAAAAAAAGAGAGGCACAAAGTGCTATACCAGAAATACGTGCAGGATGGTTGAAGACTGTTCTTGAGAGCTGAGTACTGCTCAAAAGCAGTACAGATCTTGGAATTATCTTGTCACAGAGGGTGGTTAATGTTCTATTCATACTATCTTGTATAGGATGTAATTTATTGAAATCCGGTATATGATAAAGAAAAGTCCCATATTTTTCTGAACATAAATAGATTAACATTACAGAATCATCATTATTGCATATCCGTTATTAACCGAAGTTACCATAATGTCTTTTTAAATTTTCAGGTAGAAACAATAGGTGACGCCTACATGGTTGTATCAGGGTTACCTGTTCGTAACGGCAACTTCCATGCTCGAGAAATAGCTCGGATGTCGTTAGCTTTGCTAAGTGCTGTTATGTCGTTCAGTATACGTCACAGGACGAACGAACAGCTCAAGCTTCGAATAGGAATTCACACAGGTGTGTAAAACTTTTCCATACTGAAGTGGAATATTGAGTGGAACAAAAATGTATTATGATAGTAGATATTTGGCAAGTTATTTTATTGTAAATATAGTATCGCTATGCATAAAATAATTTTAAAATTTGTAAGTTACTTGTAACTTTTTTGAATTAATAGCGGATCTGAGTTTTCCTACTCAATATAATATGTCTTTTGTAGTTTTTTCCCCTCAAACTCCTAAAGTTTGTATTTATTTAGTTTCTTTTTAATAAAAGACAATGGTAGTATATATAATTGGTCGGTAACTTTTTATAATGTGCAAAATTATATATCCAAAGCTCAACATTTGATAGGTTTCCGCTTATATTTATCGTTATATATCAAAATTGGTAATGCAGTACTAAGGCTAGGAAGTGGTTTGTTGTACATTGCTCTCACAACTCAACAATGCATCTCATACATTTTAAGTCACGGCATAACGGCTCATAAAATGGCTCCGAGTTTTTTTTTTTTTTACAAGTGCAAACTTTTAGTTCATAGCTCCGTCATCTCTTGACCGATTTCAGATCTAATTACAGTTTTGGACTCAGGAAGTCAAACCCTTTCGATTGATGTATTTGATCACGCCCAAGGTCTCATAGATTAATTTATTCTAATCGTTCCTAAAATAATTTCAATTTGAGGGTAGGTTGGTAGAGTTTCTGATGAGTAATAAAATAAAATCGGGTATACACGCTCCCCACGCTTGGTATTGCTGGCGCACAAAAATATAGCTAATAAAAAGGAATAAAGACTCATAGATTAATTTACTCTGATCCTGCCTAAAAGAATTTCAAATGCCGCGGCTATTGAAGATTCCCTCTTGTTGTTATATAGAATTGAAAGTATCAT